TGGGGGGAGGGGTTGTGACTAGGGATGTTACATTTAGATTAGGACCGTCAAGCGATTAAACATTTTAATCCTGCCATTAAAAAAATTGAATCCGGATTCATCAGGTGCCTCCCCTTTGAAATGCTGCAGCGGCGTTTCCACGGGGCAGCGCTGCACGGAGCCTGGGAGGAGCGGGAGTCCCTGGCTGACCCCACGGGGGCTCCATGCAGCGCTGCCCCTTGGAAGCGCCGTGGTGGCAGTGTGGAATTTATGAAAATTCAGCCCCTGTTGCTTTGGCTGTTGCTGCTTCCTGAGGCTCACACTGGGCTGAGGTGGGAGGTGGCTGAGAGGGGAGCTGGATGGAGGGGGCACACAGGGATGCTGTGAGAGAGGACACAGAGGGATTTGAGCACAGGATGAGCAGGGGGCCCTGGCATGGGCAATGGGTGAGCAAGGCTTTGGGGTTTTTCGGCTTTTAATTTTGATTTTTTTAATCAGTGCTGGTACATCACCTCCTGCCCCTCACCCTCTTCGGACCTGCCCCATCATTGCTGAACTCGGGAAAATTAAAGTAACCTTGTGACCCAGCCCAGAAGAAGCCATGGCCACAGAGAGTCCCGTGAAAAGTCTCCAGACTGAAGTGACATGTCCCATATGCCTGGAGTATTTCACAGCTCCTGTCACTCTGGAGTGTGGGCACAGTTTCTGCCAGGCCTGCATCAGCCGGCACTGGGAGGATCCAGACACAGCCACCTCCTGCCCTCAGTGCAGAAAAACCGTGCAACAGAGATGCCTCTGGCCCAACAGGCAGCTGGCAAACATCGTAGAGATAGCCAAGCGGCTGAGTTTGCAGGCAGTGCAGGGAGCAGAAGGGGATGGGGCGTGTGGGGAGCACCAGGAGGCGCTGAAACTATTTTGTGAGGAAGATCAAACCCCCATCTGTGTGGTGTGCAACAAATCCCAGGTTCACCATGCTAACACGGTGGTGCTCATACAGGAGTGGTGCCCAGCTGCCCAGGAGTACAAGGTACAGAGTTGCTGTTCAATGTAATGGGAAATAACTTGGGGTTTTAATTACAGGCTCATTTCACTGACTGTTACCTGGCACAGGTGTGACACAGGTCTGTGAAGCCTTCCTGGTACGAGAGATGCTGTAAAAAAATAAACGCTCTGGCTGTGTGGCAACTTACATCAACTCTTTACAGATTTCTCTGGCGGTCTAAATCCTGAGACCCAGCCCTCACAGGTGACAGGAGGGGTTTTTACACAAGGGAAGATGTTAACAGAGAGTTTAGCTCACAGATGCTGCAGGCCAGTCTATGCAAGTGAGCTGCCCTCCGACTGGAGAAGGGGAGGTTACAAGCTGTTACTGATTGGATGAACAGCAGTAATAATCCATCATATGCCTTACAGGACCCACATGGCATCTGGGCCCTGCACAGCACCCAGCAAGGGATGGTCCCTGCCCTGAGCAGGTCACAGTCCAGTTAGACAAACAGTGGGAAGGGAAAATGGGGCAGCAAGTTGCTCGTGGTCACCAAGCACGTCAGCACTTGAGTTTAGCGCAGAACACCGGTCTCTCCAGGGTCAGTCTAAGGCCCTAACCACTAGGTTGCACTCCCCTCGCCCCTCAGCATCACTGAACAGTGATGAAGCGTGGCCCTTAGGGGGGAAAGATGCCATGATAAAGCCCAGGGCTAAGCAGGGAGAGGAGGTTTCCCCCTGTGATGCTGAGCTCCTGGGCTGCTCCATGAGGGGTCAAACTCAGACGTTGCAGCCGGCACTAGAGGCAATCAGTGGGCTGGATGCTGGTGGGGACCCCGAGTGCCTTGAGTCCACCCACAATTGGGCACCACGCAGTGCAGGGTCATGCCAGGTACCACTGGCATCAGACTGGGTTAGCGCAAGAGTTCAAACTGGTTAACTGATGAGCTAATGCTTATCGGTGCCAGTCACCAGGAAAACTCCCTGCTGCCCCGGCAGTGCCCACTGGCCCCTGGCTGCTAATGTCAATCCGCAGCTGCTGGAGTCCCCACCTGCCGGCAGCCCCCCCACCCACCCCCAGCCGGCGCTAGAGGCGATCAGTGGGATGGACGCAGTGTGGGACCCCGAGCGCCTTGAGTCCACCCACAATTGGGCACCAGGCAGTGCAGGGTCATGCCAGGTACCACTGGGATCAGACTGGGTTAGCGCAAGAGTTCAAACTGGTTAACTGATGAGCTAATGCTTATCGGTGCCAGTCACCAGGAAAACTCCCTGCTGCCCCGGCAGTGCCCACTGGCCCCTGGCTGCTAATGTCAATCCGCAGCTGCTGGAGTCCCCACCTGCCGGCAGCTGTGCGAGAACCGTGCCCACATCCTCTACCGACCAATGCCTGTGGGCAGGTTGAAAAATATTGTAACTAATTAAACTGTAATTGGGTACATGATTAGTATTTTAAACCCTTTTTACCTCCCTAATATCCACCTACATCGTTCTTTATGAATTTTCCACCACTACTCCTCCCTCCCCCGACTCTCACAGGAGTCCTGCTGCATCCCCAGTCTCCTCCTGTTGCTTTTTCAGTGGACAAAGCCACATCCAGGGCTGAGTCCCTTCTGAACAGGGGCAGAGCCTCACAAAACTGGGGCAGTGCAGCTTCAAGGCAGACAAACGGGCTCCCAACATCTCATAGAGTTTGCCCTGGTGTTTATTTCTGTTTGCTTAGAAAAAGTTTGAGGCCCATTTGAAGACTCTCAGAGAAGAAAGAGAAAAGCTGCTGGGATGGAAAGCGACGGGAGAGGGGAGAAGCCAGGAGTATCTGGTAGGTGCCTGTGGGTATACACTGGGGTTACATCTACACTTGCATGATTTTGCGGAAATGCCTTTAACGCGGACTGTGCAGCTTCAAGGCAGACAAACAGGCTCCCAACATCTCATAGAGTTTCCCCTGGTGTTTATTTCTGTTTGCTCAGGAAAAGTTTGAGGCCCATTTGAAGACTCTCAGAGAAGAAAGAGAAAAGCTGCTGGGATGGAAAGCGACGGGAGAGGGGAGAAGCCAGGAGTATCTGGTAGGTGCCTGTGGGTATACACTGGGGCTACATCTACACTGGCATGATTTTCCGGAAAAACTGAACGGAAGCAGCACAGTATGTCTGCAAGAACGCTGACGATCTTCCATGAGATCGTCAGTGTTCTTGCGGAAATTCAAGCGGCCAGAGTAGACAGCTGGCAAGTTTTTCTGCAACATCAGATGATTTTGCGGAAAAACTTGCCAGTCTAGACACAGCCTGGCAGGGACGGGCAATGGGAGGGCAGGGTTAGGAGGCAGACTCCTCTGTGGCCTTGCTGAGGTTGGGCTTGTTTGTGTTTCTCCTGGATGATGGATTGCTGGGTTAGATCCAAGTGTGGACGAGCCCTGAGCTTCCATGTCGGGATGAGTTAATGTGCAGCCCCTGTGACTTTCCCAGAAAACCTCCCCAAGGGAGCTGAATGTCCCTGTGAAGGGCTGTCGACTGCTTTGTGCTTTAACAGGTTTGTTTCTGTTTTCTGCCTTGCTCTCTCTGTCAGGCTGGGGCTGAGTCCTGCCTCCTGCTGCTCTGGGTCTGAATTCCCAGTTCTGCAACATCAGATGATTTTGCGGAAAAACTTGCCAGTCTAGACACAGCCTGGCAGGGACGGGCAATGGGAGGGCAGGGTTAGGAGGCAGACTCCTCTGTGGCCTTGCTGAGGTCGGGCTTGTTTGTGTTTCTCCTGGATCCTGGATTGCTCGGTTACATCCATGTGTGGACGGGCCCTGAGCTTCCATGTCGGGATGAGTTAATGTGCAGCCCCTGTGACTTTCCCAGAAAACCTCCCCAAGGGAGCTGAATGTCCCTGTGAAGGGCTGTCGGCTGAGTCTGGTCACTTCGTGCTTTAACAGGTTTGTTTCTGTTTTCTGCCTTGCTGTCTCTGTCAGGCTGGGGCTGAGTCCTTCCTCCTGCTGCTCTGGGTCTGAATTCCCAGTGCCCGTGAAAAACAGAACACTCTGCCCATGACAGTCAGGGAACTGTCCCTTTCAGAGGGACACAGGGGCCGAAGGAGAAGCTGGGAGACTCCTCTGCCTTGAACCCAGGCGGTTGAGTCATATGTCAGAAATTTGAGGGTTTCCAAGTTGTCCCTGCTGCGCACTCAGCTCCCCAAGAAAGGGCCCCGGGCTCCATCCATGCCCCTGAGCAGCCCTTTCCCTGTTTCCATCCAGAAACTGACACAAGCCGAGTGGCAGAAGGTCGTGGCCGAATTTCAGCAGCTGCGGCATTTCCTGGAGGAACAACAGCGACTCCTGCTGGCTGAGCTAGAGAAACTGGAGGAGGATATTGTGAAGCTCCAGGCTGACACAGTCAGGAAACTCTCCGCACAGATTTCCGGTCTCAGCGAGCTGATCGGTGAGCTGGAGGGGAAGTGTCAGCAGCCAGCGTGTGAATTCCTGCAGGTGAGACTGAGGGAGAAACATCCCAGCTCCACGCACAGGGAAGGGAGGCTCCTGAATCACAAACACTAGGGTCACAGCCGTCAGATCTGGGTGTAACTGGGCGTGTGCATTGCTGACATGTGAGTGACTGTTGTGCTTTGCAGAGCTACAGGCACAGGGATAGTAGAGATGGCCAAGCCCCATTCGCTCAGGTGATCACATATTTGTAAATCCTTTGTGTGTCTGATGGGGCTGAAATTGTTTTTGTTTCTCTCCTGCAGGATGCCAGAAGCACCTTGAGCAGGTAGGTGGCTCCCTCACCCCCCTCACGCTGCCCAACTCTGGGAAGGAGCTTGGAGCTGATGTGAGCACCACATCCCCCCACGGCTCTACAGCCAGATGTGAGGAGGAAGGGCACAGGCTGGGCACAAATCTCCCTGATCAGCTTCAACCTGAGGGTCTCACCCTGGCACAGCAGACTCTGGAATTCTCCATTCAGAGGCACAGTCTGACCTCAGGAGTTTCCTAGAGCTGTCGCCTCCCTGGGGACTGGCTGCCTGGGGACTGTGGGGGTGGAACACGGGCCTGTCACTGCTGGGCGTTGGGCACCGTTCAGCCCAGGGCAGCAGGACAGAGCAGCAGGGACCAAGAGTCTGTCCCACCTGAGGGCTGTTTGGAGACCTGTGTGGAATGAGCTGGGGAGGGGGGCGCTGGTGTCTCAGTTTGAGTCCTAGGGGGCAGATTCCTACAGCCCCTCACCTGGGAACCTCCTGTCCCGCTGAGTCTGGAGGCCAAGGAGTGGATTGACTGTGGAGTCTCAATTTCCCTTTTGTCCCCAGAACCGGTCTCTCCGGGCCAGATTTTAAGGATCTTAATAGGTCTGTTGAGGGGAACATGTCACAGCCATGGGAGAAAGGGATCCCAGCTCCGGGTCCATCTGAGAAATGAGACTGAAGTGACTTAATAACTGAGTCACTCAATGCAGTGTCACCATGTGACATTGTTTCTCTCCAGGTGTGAGACGGGGCAGTTCCAGCAGCCGGTGGAGATTCCTCCTGACCTGGACGAGCGCGTCAGTGGTTTCTCCCATAAAATTACTGCGCTGTTGGAGAGTCTGAGGGAATTCAAAGGTACCTAGAAGGGATCGAGGAGGGGGAAGTGACAGTCTAGTTTGGGTGCTGACCTTTAGGCCCCAGGGCTTGGTTCTCAGAGGGTCTGGGCCCCCTGCCTCCCTCTGTTTATAAACAAGCCCCCTGCCCCAAAGGTGAAGCTGGAAGTCCTGAACTCTGTGACAGCTCAGAGCTGCCTCTGGAGGGTTTGTGTTTTAAGCAGATCTCAAGCATGAAATGTAGGGGTTCAAACTTTAGGGCGGGCTACCAATTCCCTTGCCCTCCATACATGGCGGCTCTTGAATGACTTGAACGACAAGCCGTCAATTAAAGGCCATTTCTTAGACCTGCACCCAGCCTGTGACAGAGCCCCTTCTAAACGGTAAGAGCTAGAACCAGCCAATTCGGTGCACAGCTTCCTCTTGTCATCACTTCAAGTACGGTCAGGGTTTGGTTGTGCCAGGACAATGGGATGTGCCCAGAAGGGGATGGCTTCTCATAACACCAGAAAACAGAGAGACTCACCAGGCAGGTGAAGGGGGCTGGCTGAGGGCATGGCCCCCACTCCAGGAGCGTTCCAAACCCGAGACTGCCACCATCCCAGTGCAATTTAGGGAGGACCAGGCTCAAGCTCCCCGTACCCCCGACTTGTACAGGAACATTTCTGGCTGTTCCCCCTCATCAGGGAGCAGGGAGAAAGTGCATAGTTTGCTGTTTCCTCGCTCTGGCTGGACCTGCCCCAACTGGGGGATGTGCACCGAGGCGGCAGCGGCCATGGAGAGGGGCTTCTCTCCTCGGCTGGACCGAGGCGGCAGCGGCCATGGAGAGGGGCTTCTCTCCTGGCTCAAAGCTCCTGCAGTGAGAGGGGGCTGGGGTTGTCCTCTCCCTCCAGGCCAGCCTCCATACTGAACCCCTCATGCACAGCACCACCCCAGAGCAATGATTCAAATGGACCAGGAATGTTTTCATTGCATCTAAAAAAACTTCACAAAAACGAAGAGTTAAGGACCTGAGCTACACCGGGTAATTCTTCTAGTCTAGAATATTGCACAAAGGACCCAGGAATCTTTGGTTATTAAATACGTGCGTGTGTGTGTCTCTCTCTCTGGCTGTGTCTCAACTGGCCAGTTTTTCCGGAAAATCAGTCGCTTTTCCGGAAAAACTTGCCAGCTGTCTACACTGGCCGCTTGAATTTCTGCAAAAGCACTGACTTTCTACTGTAAGAAATCAGTGCTTTTTGCAGAAATACTGTGCTGCTCCTGTTCGGGCAAAAGTCCCTTTTCCACAAAACTTTTGCGCAAAAGGGCCAGTGTAGACAGCTGAGATTTGTTTTGTGCAAAAAAGCCCCGATCGCGAAAATGGGGGCTACGTCCAGACTGGCATGATTTTCCGGAAATGCTTTTAACGGAAAACTTTTCCGTTAAAAGCATTTCCGGAAAATCATACCAGTCTAGACGTAGCCCTTCTGTCTGTCTGTCTCTCTCTCTCTCTCTCTTTCTGTCTTTGTTGGCCTACCATAATTAACGCAGTTCTAGCAGTGTGAAGTGGCGACCCTGTTACAAGAGCCTGTAATCTCACCTCTCTGATCCTTTCCTCCCACCCAGACACTCTGCCCTCTGCACTGGAAGGAGCAAGAGGAAATTCCCTCGGAACGTTCAGACGGGGTGAGGTTTCCAGTGGAGATTGTCTTTAAATGAGGAGAAGATTCCAGTTAAAACTTTTTTCCTGAGATTGTAGCTGAAGTTACCAACCCAACTGACGGTGCCTACGGCCCTAAATCTAACCCACTGGCCAGTGAGGAAGCGCCCACGGTGCCCACGGCCCTAAATCTAACCCACTGGCCAGTGAGGAGACCCAAGGGCTCGGGATAGAGGCCCGGGAGACATGACCTGCCCACTTGAAGAAATGGGATGGCCAGGCCTTTCTATGTCTTCACATGGGGATAGTTTGGGAGTAGATGCCGTGTTGACCCTACAGCTATGATCCTTGCTGGGGGGAGGGCGGGGGGATGGCTGCACTTTGTGGTGGGGCAGCTGATCAGTGCAGCTCCTGCCGAGGGCACCAGACTCTTCCCGGTGCTGGCCCCTCCCAGGGACCCCACCCCTGCTCCTTTTTCCCCCCAAGGCCCTGGCCAAGCCAGAAGTCCCCGCCATTGAGCTCAGGTTACCCTGAAGAGCCCTGGCCACGCCACCTGAGTGGTGCACTCCAAGGAGTGGGGACATGGGCTGGCGGCTGCTCTGAGGCCATCTGGAGCTTGGCCTAAGCCAGGTGGAGGGCCAGAGGGACCCCATAACGGCCAAGGCTCGCAGATGGGTCACAGGCAGGACCTCACTTACGAGAGGAGGAGGGGGTGAGGCCACACAGTCTCCGGCCTCGGCCACATTCTACCGCAGAATTCTACCGAGGTTCTGGAACTCTGTGGGCAGGGGGGCGGATCCCAAGCTGACGTCACGAATTCTCCTGACACTAGAGGTGGGTGGACTGTGGGGATCCTGGGTCAGACAGTGTCACTTGGATATGGAGGAAACAACCTGTTTGGGAAGTTGCTGACTTGCATTTGTTTCTACCCTGTTCAGGGCACAGAAATGTGCCAGTGTTGTTTGTAAGTAATAAAGTTTGCATCAAAGAAACCCCCCGACTCCTATAATCTGTGTCTCCTGCCAGTGGCAGAACCGAGCGAGGCCCAAGACACTGGCTGGCGGCTGAGGCCAAAGGAGCCAGGGTACCACCTGGCTACGTCTAGACTGGCATG